AATTTTCATTTTAATGTCCGTCTGGTAGATTATTTTAAATCATTAGACACGTATTTTTTATTTTGTTACAGAAACGAATACTTTTGACGTTTAGCCCCCACTCCTAAACTTTGATTCGTTTTAACTAAGTATTTTTTATTATACGACAAAATAAAATACGTGTCTATATTTTTTCATTAAGTACCTACCTAACTGACGGACTAATTAGATTTTTAATTTTCATATCCTTTCATCATCCCAATTGGGTAAGTAATAAGTATGACGGAGTTAACTTAAGAACATTTATTGAACATTTTCGTTTTTGTTCAGCAGCAGATTTCATGCAGCTAACATCATGAATGCCACAATGGTATTGTTGACATAAACATTATGTAACAACATTTCGTTATGTAAGACTCCATACATGGTAGATATATCTATGTGTGGTTAAGTAAAATTACTATAGCCAACAGCTAAAGTTAGATGCTTAATAGTTATCACATTCTAGTTTTAATAGAAACCTAGTAAAAGATGAAGAAATGCATCGAACAATTACTTTCTGAACAGTTTTGTTCGAAAAGTAGATAATATAAACATGCAATTTTGTAAGCTCTATCTATCGTTCGTTTAATAACGCAAATAATCATTAAATATACAGATAAACTGAAAGACAATAATTTGAAGTAGGTACAATGGAACTTAATGTTCGCAGGTACTTATTTATTTATTTATTTATTAATTTATGTACACACATTCAACACAGAGGACAATCAATACATAGTATAAAACAAAGTCGCTTTCGCTGTATGTCCGTATGTATGCTTAGATCTTTAAAACTACGCAACGGATTTTGACGCGGTTTTTTTTAATAGATAGAGTGATTCTTAAGGAAGGTTTGTATGTATAATAAATGCATATTGCACCGGTGCGAAGCCGGGGCGGGTCGCTAGTACATAATAAAAAACAGAGTACATAGGCCCCACATATTCCAACTGGAATTTCTTCCTGTGGGCCTGTGGCAGGAAAAGAAATAACGATACAGAGACACATAGTGTGTTACACAAACAAGATAAAAATCAATTAATAAAAAAAAAAGTAATAAGACCGAAGAAACCAATAGAATTAACAATAATAAACAATAAAACAAATTAATATAATACAATTATAATACATATATAAATAAATATAGAAAAACAAATCTATATTTCAGGAGGAAAGATAATATTCTCTCACTTGTCTCTTAAAGATAGAGATAGACTTGGCGTCCCGAATGTTCGGCGGGAGCGAGTTCCATAGTCTCACTGCATGAACGGAGAAGGAGTAGGAGTAGAAGTCGGTATTATGGGGCACAATTTTAAGATAGGATTTAAGATGAGAACGAGTAAGGACTTCAGGAGGGCGCACCAAGGAGAAACGGTCTCGAAGATAAGTAGGATAGGCTGGGTTGAAGAGGATGTTATAGAGGAGACATAGTATGCGAGTGTTCCTGCGAAGACGGATTGGGAGCCACTTGAGCCTGTTACGGAATTCAGAAATATGATCGAACTTCCTAAGACCAAAGATGAAACGGATACATACATTTTGTAAACGCTCAAGTTTATTTAATAGCTCCCCTGTGGCGTCCAAATAGCAAGCATCTGCATAGTCAATGAGAGGCAAGATCAGCGCCTGGACGAGGTGAATCTTAGTCTTCACCGGAAGCAAGGTCTGGAGGCGCCTCAGCGAGTGAATGGAGAAATGAACTTTCCGACTAACCTCGTTCACCTGAAAAGCCCACGACAAGTTCGAGTCGATATGCACCCCCAAGTTTTTCGCAGTATCAGTGAATGGAATGCGTGTGCCATTCAAACGTAATGGACCAAGGCTAGGGACGTCGAGAGCGTTTCGATAATATCTGCTACCGATGATCATGGCCTGAGACTTGATAGGATTGATTTGCAATCCAAAAGACCTAGCCCACTCGGCAACGCCATCCAAGTCACGATTCATGGCATCGATAGCAGAATGGGCCTCGGACAGGCCAAAGTGGCGGTATAGCTGCAAATCGTCCGCATATAGATGGAAATTAGATGAAACTAAATACTTAGATACTTAATAGTAGGTAATATAGCTTTAAAGTAGGTATAATTTAATAGGATTTTTACATATAACTAGCAAACCCGGCGAACTCCGTTTCGCCACCAGATGGCTTCGTTTTATGTAGGTAATATTTCATTTGGTGATTAAAAGATGAAGAATTTTTTTCCTGAATTTTCTTTTCTATAAACCTCACGGAGACCCGAGACCTTTCCAACGAATCTCAAACCGTGGAAATCGGCTCGTTCGTTCTGGAGTTATAGCGTCAGGAAGGAAAACCCGACTTATTTTTATATAGTAGATATATGTATTTTCAGTAATTCAATAGCTATAGTTACCCACCCACCATCACGCTTCCTCGATCCTCGATGCATATTGTATAACTTCATTACGACTGCGGCTGCAACAGTGGTGGTTTAATCATACGGTAGGTCCAAAATAACTACGATCTGCGAATAGTTTCGGGTCTGTATATGATTTTGGGGAATTAGTGTTTGTAAATATTAATGCAGGAGGATATATTAATTGAAAATTGTTTTTAAATAATATATGTATGTATTTCTCAAGCTTTAGGGTGCGTCCACATCTGGGGAATGCTTTGCGAATGACCCAATCGCGAGCCGTTCGCGAGCTGCGCTCTGTTCATGACCAAAACCAAACGTAGGTGAATGTCTTACTATGTATGGGGTAGACATTCACCCACATTTGTATTTTCATCAGTATCGTGGGTGCATTTAGAAACACAAATTTTTACATAGGTACCCATATCATCATGCATACTATGTAAGGTTGCGACACACAGTACTGATGGTCGTCCAGCCACTACGTCAACCGAGCAGTTATATTTTTTTCGTACAAAAGCACGGTAAATAATCATTTATGAGTTAGTAGACAGCAGCTAAAAAATAATTAATTAAATCACAAGGTCAGGACAGGAGAGCTAAGAGAAAGGATCAATGTATAGAACAAAAGTCGGTCAAACCTAATAAAGTAATAAGTATTTCACAATAATCTTTAACAAAAAATAATGCTAATAAAAATAATGAAATTGCAATTTTATAATAGGTACCTAATAGCTATTTACCCACATTAAATTTATTGTTGCAGGTTGGATTGGAACGATTTACTGAAATAAAACTAGATTGGACACTTATAAACCGAATGAATCAGAGACCGAATTGACCACGAAAGTACCCAGGTAAGTGCTCTGTACCACAAAAATGTGTCAGCCTAGCCCTTCGGTGACCAAAAGGCGAGATGACTTATTCAACCAGGTACCATAAACACACAAAATACAATTTTTGTAAAACCATACGAAAAATTTTTTTTTTAGAAAATAGTATAAATTATGCAGTGTTCATGAACTACTTCGGAAAATCGAAACACGTCTCGCAAACGTAAATAGTATCACTTTATTCGATACTTCATTCAATATACTAACGATTTTAACAAAATAGTTTGATCAGCACGCGCCTTTAAGGTCAAGCACGCACCGTTTCACGACAAGTTTCACGCATTCATGTGGGTTGGTACCACTTCTACCACTGCACTCGTGCGCTGATACCCCACAACCTTGAACACTTTCATTAAAAATGACAAAACGATTTCATATCAGTCGCGCACGAAATATTTGAAGAATTTTTTTTTATTTTATATCTTTATGCCGATCTTTATTGGTAGGTCAACCTTTTCATTGCTTTTGTAGGCCTACCTCTATAACTTCAAGAAAATCATTAAAATAGATACGTTAACCTGAACCGATTTCAACTTACTTCTCTTTTCTATTTTTAATCTAAAACTTGCTCTAATTACATACTTTTCTGAAAACCACATCAAACCAAGCAACCGCAAAACAATCATGGATAAACATACATACATACGTGCTATTACCTACATTTTTTTTAAGGGGGGAAAATCTTCGAATGACTTCACCCGCCTGGGTGAGGCGGGAGAGAGTGTCTCTTACTCTGACTCTTACTTACTAAAACCCATCACCCATGCTCGCCGTCCGTGCTAATAGGTACATACCATACATACATAAATCAAAATGAGAACGTCCGTAAAGTGAGTAAAAAAAGAAACCACTACATTTTTTTTTGATCGGGGAATATATAAAATATCTATAGGTTTTAAAAACTGGACTGCCTCGTTGGCCGAGTGGTCGCAATTGCGACTGCCGAGCAAGGGGTCTCGGGTTCGATTCCCGGGTCGGGCAAAGTATTACTGGGTTTTAAAAAAAAATTCTCAGTAGTAGCACGGAGTCTGGAACTGTGCCCGGTATATGGCAATAGGCTCACCCCCTATTACATGGGACTCATAACATAAATAGTGAAAAGTGGGTGTTACATTGTACAGTGGTATAATGTGCACCTCTGCCTACCCCTTTGAGGATAAAAGGCGTGATGTTATGTTATGAGAAACATTTTGTTGCCTACAACCAGGTAATAAATATATGATGTTAACGATAAAAGTCAAACACAAAATTAGTAATAATAATAACAATCTACCAATTTTTTACCTAATTAATTGACAACTAAATATGGCTACAATTTACAAAATTATTTTATAATTTAGTTATATAAGTAAATACAAAATAATCATATTGGTTGGCAACTTACCTTTTATTCTTAAATTCGCTAAAGAAATGATGAGTAGTGCCATCTATCTTTAACTCTGAGAGACGTGTATATTAAGCCTAGTATACATCGTGAACGTGACGTACAAACGTCTATGAAATTTTAGTCTAGTGACCATTCGACCTTAAAATTTAGTCGATTTTAGTGTAAATATCGAATGTCTCATCTCTATTCTAATGTTATTGATTTTTAAACGTAAACAAATATGACACTTGATTTTGACATTGACACATTAGATGTCTTACCGACGAATTCAGTAAATTCAATTATTGATTTCATTTTCATTCTGTTTTGAAAAGTCTTGTGAAAATGAAAAATATTTTGGAGACTCTTATAAACGCATCGGAGAAGGCAGCGTGTGTTGCTCGATCCTGTTGTGCTGGTTCCAAGAACGAAGTGTTATTAGTGGCAGAAAAGTTTGATGGCGACGCCAACGCCCGTTTTGAGAGAGATTTCAAAACTATCGCAGATGTTTTGGCTCAGGAAGCTGCTAAAACTGAGATAGCGAGGCATTTCCCAGAACTTGCAGAGCATGTAAGAGGTGAAGAGTGTTCCGAGATTGGTGGAGTAAGAATTGAATTGCGCGAAAATATTGAAGGGACCACAGACCTTCTGCAGTATTTGGTAGCTCCCGCTGTCGCAAAACGAATGGCTGAAGCGGCTCATCGCGACACAGAGCATATATTTTGTGATAATTTACCAAATATTCCAGAGATTGATACATCTGATGTGGGAATTTGGATTGATCCTATTGGTAGGTAGACAGGAAAATTAATATTTTCCTTATGTTATATGTTATCCCACCTACCGACTCGTAATTTGATCCTAATATTAGTGTTTCACAATTTATCCATTTTTGTATGTTTTAGATGCTACTGCGGAGTTTATAGCAGGAGTACAGGGCCGTGCTGATGCAGATCGAGGTCTTCCATGTGTCACAGTTCTCATAGGCGCCTATTTAAGGTCCACAGGAGAACCCATTGTTGGAGTTATTAATCAACCATTTTATAATAAGTAAGATCCTAATTTTACTATTATTGACATAAAAGCTCTTTTTGCTTCTAAAGATAGATTTAGACCAAAAATTGTTTCTCAGTGATAACATATTTTTTCAGTTTTTATTATGGTATGTTTCATTTTGCAGTGGCAAGGGACGAGTGATTTGGGGCTTAAACTATAAAGGAAGCCGTGAATCTGGTGGTAATGACATTCCAGATACCAATGAAACTAATATAATTCTGATCAGTTCTGCTGAGAAGCCAGAAGTTGCTGATAAATTCAAGCAAGCTGGATGGGAAGTCAAGTCAGCACCTGGAGCTGGACACAAACTTCTTAAAGTTGCTATAGGTAAAAACATTGTCTTCCACAACTAGAAATTACAAGCTGTTTGTATAGGATACAATTAACCATCAAGCTACAAATTGTACAAGTTGAAAAAATTTTATTTGTTGATTTATCTGGAAGGTAATGTCAAAAACATGTCTCATAAATATTTTTCCTTTACAGGTGAAGCTACAGCGTACATCATGTCACAAGGAACAACTTTCCGCTGGGACACTTGTGCCCCCCACTCTATCCTCCGAGCCAAGGGTGGGGACCTACTCAGCTTTTCAACTATCGGTCCCATCACTTACAACGATGAAATGCACATGGAGCCACAACACTATAGCAACAAAGATGGCATCATTGCCTTCACTGATGTGGCAACATTAGAAAAAATCAAGAAAATTCTTGAAGATTAATTTTTCAATAAAAAAAAAAATTTAATGTTAAAACCATCCCTCCCTGTGATTCCACATCTAGTTCGAGTAGAAAAAAAAGTATCTATTTTTAGGATTAGTATTATAATGTTAGCTCCTGTGTCATGTGTAGGGCTGACCAAAATTTGAAACAATAAAATTGATGCTACCTTTTTTGTATAAGTGGTAGTTGTCAATTTTAGTATGTATGCAATGGAATTGGCGTCATAAAATGACTATAATAAAGTATTCAGATAATAACTAAACTAGAATAAGAACTAGTGTTGTCATTGATGTTTTAAGTATTACAGTTTAATTCTTCGAGCAGATTTATAACGAAATATTGTTCAAATGTATTAGATGTTAATCTTTTTCGAATATTTATCTGAAGATTTTGAAAACCAATGTTTTGAATGTGTATTGAATAATATGTTTATCTAGTCATTATTATTCAAGTATGTTAATTTTTAAAATGATCTCTATGTTGCATGTTATGTAAACTGTGATGTATGTATTGTTTCCAAAATAAAAGATATCGTTTTGTAGAAAACATTTTACTTATCTTTTGATCACTTGATTATCATTATCTACATTAATCACTAGAATCTGAATCTGATGATGAACTTCTACTTCTTTTCTTTTTCTTCTTTTTACTTTTCTTTTCTTTCTTCTTTTTACTTTTCTTGTCTTTCTTCTTTTTTACTCTGCCTTCTTTCACTGTTTCTCTGGAATCTTTTTCCTACAAAAAATAATTATTATTAACAAGGTTAGGAGATAACAAATTATGCTATAATAAAACCTAATGTCTTATTAGTTTTCTAATATTTTACTAGTCATAATACCTCATTTTCTTGTTTTTTCACAACAGGTTCAGGGTTTCTAGCAATCAGTGGAGCACAGCCTTCCATTCTAATTGAGGCTGTTACATCATCTACTTTTGTCATGTCAGCATTTGGTGCTCGGTACTGTTCACAGTGATCCACTCTAATAGTCCTATTTAAAATCTGAAAGAAATAAGTAAGCAATATAAAATCTATATGAACAAAAATGTTTTTTCATTCGTTAGTCTCGCTAGAATTCGAGAACGGCTTATTTTGGTCTTGAAATGTTCGAAAAATTGTTAGGCAGAACAAAGATTGCTGGGTCCAATAAAGCAGCCAGTCTACAATAAAAATGAAAGGTTCTTTGTTGTCTTATTTAATTGATTTGCACATTATTAGCTATTTTAATTCTAGGTAAAATTAAAACTTGAATGTATATGAGAACATTGTTGTTCAAAACTTATTTCTTGTTTTGGTGGCCAAATCGATCTTTTATTAAGTACTTGTAATTATTTCATTACTTCAAAATTTTATTGAAATAGGTATTTTCTATAACTTACTTTTAATCCATTTAAATTATCTACAGCCAGCACTGTTGAACGTTGGTCTTCGTAACATATAAATGCAAATCCCTTTGATTTCCCAGTTCCTTTGTCTCTAACTAAGTTTATGTTTACTATTTCACCATACCTGAAAAAAAAAAGATTTTTAGAAACAATGTTTTAAGTAGATTGTAACTTTAACTCGTCGAGTACCGTATTTATAGACACAATTAAAGAACAATAGGTTGCGGTCACCGGTGACCGCTTGGTAATTGACCGTTTAAAAGGTAGATTTAATACGAGTGTAGAGGACTGATCTGTAAAATGTGTAGGTCATGGCTATACAAACTATATACCCTCGCTGGCTAAATAAATTTCTTACAAAAGCTGGAGGGCTGGAAAAATATTTTCAGTTGTATAATGAGGTTTAACATTGTATTGTATACTCATAGACTTATATACAAATCATACATTGAATTTTGTTATTTTTGTTGCACCTAAGATGTTGAGATTAAAATGTGTGTTGCGGGCCACATAAAAGAAAGTTTGTTTGGACAGACCTGGTGTAGGCCAAAAGATGACTCTTAATAATAATAAGACATGACATTCACAAAAAGACCTGCAGTAGTGACAAATGTATACTATTCTGTCATTAGCATATAATAATAGGTAATTATATTACTAGATTCTGTGTGCGGCTTCACCTGAGTTCCCATGGGATAAAAAGTAACATAAGTGTTCTTCCAGACCATAATCTCTGTTCCAAATTTCATCAATCCCTTCAGCTGTTTTGACTTGATTGTGTAACAAACTGACACACAAACTCACAAACATTAAGATTAGTTTAAGATATTAAATATCACTTTACTTACTGTGAAAAAACGCAGATTACATCGCCCTCTGTAAGATCGTAGGGCAACCCTCCAATAAATATCCAAGCGCTATGCTTATACTGGTCATGCCATGAAGACTTTGATCCACTGCCAAGTTCACGTTCACTCAGCTTCAGCACATTTTTCATATTACTGAAATGTAACGAAAACAATCGAAATTATAATTATCTGAAGTGTCCAATATGCAATAGTTTTAAACTTTTTATGACTTCAAGGTGTTTACTGATGATTATTATTTCATTAGTTTGTAAATACATAACTTTTAAGGTAACATTTATTTGAAAATTTGTATGTTGTTCAAGTTGGAAAAGAAATGCAAATAAAGAGTTTGAGTTTGGTTTACCATGGTAATTATTTAAATATAAATCTTGTACTTACGTCATAGGATTCATTTTGTCTTAAAGTTTTGGCACCCTTGTTTATTGAAATAATACACCGGTAGGTAATTTGGTAACTATTTTCATTATAAATCTCTAAGTTTTGTTTATATAGTTTCTAATTCTAACCTAAAAAAACAATCAAATCAACAAACATTTGAGAAAGATGAAGTTGTCTTGTCAGTTGTCAGTATTGGCATATTTTGTCAATGTCAATGTTCTCATGCTCTGTGGTCAATATGTTTCTATTGACGCAATGATACAGCACGACTGTTGTTACAAAGACCTTAAGTGGTTAAGAATTATATTCGATTAATTTAATTATTAAATCAACATTAATTTTTTATTATATTTACAGCTATTTTTGCGTACCATAGCCAAAATATACTCTACCGTAAACGTTTCGTTTTGTTTGACAAATCACAATCAGACATTTGATTTGACATGACAATTCACACCATTCCCTGATTCGAGAAATTCGAAAATAAACACGTTCTGCGAAACACTTTAATTTAACTATTTTTCTTTCTTATTAGTTATTTGTGAGTGAGAAATATTATTGTATAAAATGACTACTCCTCCTGAGTCACAAGATAATTTTGACCAGGTTTGTGAATTATTTACTTACTGCTAAACTTCAGGATTTTGCCTGTCTCAGGTCTGCAGGAAGAGATGCCTTAAGGAATATGCAGTACTTATCTATGTACCTCATAATATTTTATATGTGTTCTTGTGTGAAGCTATATTATATTTGTACATAAATAAACTTCTTTTTGAAGTTGTCTAAAAGGGTGACCCTTATTTTCAGTTCGACGAAGAAGAAACTGAACAGCAACTGGGGGCTACTGCATCTGGGCGTAAAAGGTTGTTTAGCAAAGAATTAAGATGCATGATGTATGGCTTCGGTGATGACCAGAACCCTTACACTGAAAGTGTGGACTTTTTAGAAGATCTCGTTATTGAATTTATTACAGAAACCACACATAGGTACGTATACCAACATCTTTTTGCATAAATTAATCATACTACTGTTTTCTTTTTCATAAATTTAAAATTACAATTATAACTATCATCCTCCCATGGCTAGTCACAATATGAGGGTACACCCATGTCAAATACAATTAATTGTAATTGACAGGTAGCTTGGTGTTTACAATTAGGGCCCCGAATATTAAGAGGATACTATAACCTGTCCACTGTGGGAATAAGGCAAAGCCCCTTTTAAGCGGTCTTTTTCAAACATGGCTCTAATCTTTTTTGCTAATGATTTATTGACAATTGTTTGCAGGGCAATGGAAGTAGGTCGCACAGGTAGAGTACAAGTAGAAGACATCATTTTCTTAGTTCGAAAAGACCAGCGCAAATATGCCCGTGTCAAAGATCTACTAACAATGAATGAAGAACTAAAGAAAGCGAGAAAGGCCTTTGATGAAGTTAAATATGTTGGTGAGTAGAAGTTTGCATCACAAAGTAATTAATTATGTTTTTTTTGTAACAGAATAAAAATTAATTTTAAACTGACAATGAAATTGTTTTACGATTGGAATATAGTGTTAAATATTTAAAAAACTAATTGTTTACTGAATGATTGTTTACTTTCTTATTGTATTTATGATGTCGTGCAATGTAATAATTGTGTTTTTGTAAAATTATAGAAGATCAACAATAACATAGATGGTCAGACAAAGCTGCCATGCTTCTAAGACTGATGCAAGTAACAGTATTTTCATTATGACACCTTGCTTTTTGTGTTCGCACATACTAACTAATATCATTGTAATCTAACCCTTATTATTTTGCCACACTAGTTTATTTTGCTATGAGGCTCTTATACAGAACATTTCATGTATTCATGAATAACTTATCCTTCAGCATTGGTATTGGAGTTTCGGAGTAACATAATATACATAATATTTTGTGACAATAAGTCCCATACATTTATTTGGACATTTATATAATGGTTTAGAATGGTCTTATATTTTTATATGTCTTCTAGCTCAAACTCAATTACTTTATTAAATAATAAAAATACTTTGCAATGTAATGTAAATGACAACTCTTTGCTCAATACTGTGATAAATATGAATATCTATTGTAGTTTACCATTAAAAAATATATTGAAGTTTTCCGTATGCTCAACAATGTATTTAGTTTTTTAAATCTTCTTATCGTCTATCAGTAATCCTTTTTAACCTTTCCTGCATGAGCAGAGCTTTTATTAACGACATCGCTCTCAGTACCATCACATACCTACTCATAGATAATAAAGTTACCTACAAGTTGTTACTATGGCACTTCCCCATTGTGTCTCCAATTTACCTTAGATGAGATTAAATATTTCACTATTTTGTAGGCAATGCATTATATTTATCGTGATCATGACATTATTATCTAAAAATCTACAATATGTGACATATTTAATTTAATGAATAGTTTAGTATAGTTTTTAATCCAATGGTTGGGCTATGGTTTTCATTAGTCACAATAATGTTCACAAATAATATTATTTTGTATTGAAAGATAATACAATTGTTTGTATTTCAGAATAATTCAGAAGTGGATAGACTGACAGGACTGTTACCTTTGCGCATATTTTGTCCGATGTAAAAATATATTTGTAACCAAGGATTGATACCTAATTACACTTAGTATTTGTAATGTACAACATTCCTTTTAATGCGAAAAACAATGTAACTATTAGTTTGTAAGACAATAAAACAATTACAATTTATTTCTTTGTCTTTTTTTTGGTTTTCAATATCCGCCCCAAACTTGCCTCATGTCGTTGACAAAAAAAACTGATACCGCAATGTCTACTTTCCCAACTATCTCTTAACTTATAAATGCCTCTTCACACATTGCGGTTGCCGGGTACTTTGTGGCGCGGTGTATGGTTATGTCACTAGCCGCTAAGTGGGTCCATTCATTAAATCTCAAACCTAACTTGATGACTCTAATGATAATTTTCGAGGATAATAAAACCTGATTAAAACTCTGGCGATATCTCGAAATTTAGAGGTCCTAGCAAAAAAAATACGACATATTCCTCACCCAGTACACACACCCTCCGTAAAATATTTTTTTGTAATCGAGGGACAGGGTAGGAGCGCAGTAGGAGTAAGCGTTATTCGAAAATAATAAAGTGCGCTCGAAAACTATCATATTTCAGTCGAAAACGAATGGAGTAGTTTGAAATATTATAGATCTACTCCCTTCCAAGGTTATTTCCACACTGTCCTTCGATCACAACATTTTTCTTTACAGGGGCTTGTGTGTATAGGGGGTGACGAAAATTTCGAGATATGGCAAGATTTTGAATCAGGCTGGAATCAACCAATTCTAAACTATCAAATATCCTCACCATCAGAAAAAATCCACGATGTCCACAACTCTCCTTGCTTGACCTAGCGAGCCACGAACCTGTTTGAAATAAAAAACGGAATGTATTTTTAAAGATTTTATTTGTGCAATACAATAGACTGACAATAAAATAGCTTGCTAAACAGTACTAACAACTGCTTTAACGAAATAATAATATCAATCAATTAAAATAATTTAACATGATTTTACAATTACTGTTTTAAAACACTAAAATAGAAGCAAACAAGTATTTATACAATTTAAAATTGAATGTCAACATTTTGAAAATATGGCCCCAATCATAGGTATTTAAAACAAATATGAAATATGAGAGTTCGATCGTAAAGATGAAATTATGTTCATAAACATCAACGAGAATAAAACTATGTGACTTCACAATTTACATATAGATCAATGATTCTTAATAATTACGTGTAAATAAAATATTTCAACAAAATGTTTACATTTTAGGCGACTAGACCAGGTTGTCAAAAAACAGCCAAACGTCTAAACTTTGGTTTCTAAATATGTGTTACACATTTTTATATAACATCGACCAATAACAAAGTTAATCTTATATTTATATAAATAGGCCATTGATGGCAGTGAGTTAGTATTCATAAATAACGTAATAAATTACTTGTTGAAATATTAGATACATAGCTATAATTTATTTATTCTATACTAAGGTACATTCTAAGCTCGGGCAAAGTGTAACTTGTAATTATATTGGCATCACTAATATTTTTTTAAGTTGTAACATGGCAATACTGTAAAATTCCTAATAAATTATATGACAATAATACGAACTGGGATTATAAGGCTGGTTTTAGTGTCGCACTGACCGTCGGCGCTGGCAGCCGAAATATATGATCTTCTTGGAACCGTGGGCACAGATATCTACACGTCATTCAAAAACGCTTCCTTGAAGTTCATATATCTCAGCCAATCAGCGCTGACGGTGCAAGTACCGTCAGCCTCAGACTAAAACTAGCCTAATAGTAATAATCTGAAAACTGGTAACTTATTTGAAATATTGTAAAATAATTTTACTTTAATCTCAACTGTAAATGAAGGAAGACATTTTAAATATTTGAGCCCTTATTTATGGTTATCGTTTTGGCAACACAACACAACACAGAAAGCTATAAACTCAACATGCATTAATACTAAATAAAATCCAGTATTTCGAAGTAATAGTACCATTGTATTGGAAACCGTCAACAGTCTTTAAAATAATTTAGTATTAGTCTCAACGAAATTGGTGCTGATTCTCTTTATGTACAGACAATCTAATAATTTTTTTATTGGATTTTCAACTTATATCAACATTTTATAGTTGAAAATCTAATAACATTTTGAAAATACTCCATTTGATCAATTTATTTCACTGGATTTCGACTTTATTTCAAAGCATTATAGTACAAAAACTAATGAAAAAATTAACAGAAGGTAGAGGATTAACATACTACAATTGATCAATGGATTTCATTGAATTTTAGACTTTGTATCAATTTACTAAAGTTAAAAATGTAATAAATAAAAGTAAAGTAGTAAGTAGGTTAACATACTCAATCTATCAATGTATTTCATTAGATATTCGACTTTATATCAAGTAAAATAAAGTCGAAAATGTAATAAAGATAATTCACAGACCATGGCAGGTTGACATGCTGTCGTCTGTACACAAGAGAAATAAATGTTTGTCCTTAGGACATTATGTGGAAGATTTTTTCTACAATATTTTTAATTTTTTCCACACAAATAACTTTTATTTTCATAAAGGCCTATGTGTACTTTAGCACTATTAAAGAACTATCCTATTACTTTGTAAATATCTATTAAATAGTAAGATAATAATAATAATATTTCACTACTTTTATAACAGCCGACGCTAAGGCAAGTAAACCTGTACATTAGATATTACTTAGATTTAATAAATAACTACCACAGATCGAATTCTCTCAAATATTTTATATTATTTTTAAGTGGTAATTATTTATAGGGGTAAACGATTTTAAATATCAGATAGTTATTGCAACACTATTAATAAATCTACTCTCATCTTGCAACACTGCAGTGTATTCGATTTTTAAATATTTTCTAAAGGGATCATATTAGGCTAAAGTATGAGATTTTGGAATGGTTTATTATAATAGCTTATTTTTTATTACGTTAAGACCAAACATTATCGTGCACTCAAAGCCAACCACACGTAAACATAAGTGTAATTTCAAAAACCAACTTTACACCCTAAGAAATACGGTTCAAATTAGACATACGTGTGATTAACTATACTAAAGCCGAAAAAATACTATTTACGTGTACGATAAGAAAACGTCGTAAATTATTGCCGTGAATACATTTGTCAAATGTTAAAAATAAAGTGACACAGAGTAATCAAAGAATGGAGCGTTCAGACGTATTGTATTGTAGAATTTATAATATCTACTCTTGTAGATAACGTTTATACTATTGTAATCATAATTTATACTCCATGGTATAAGATAATGTAATGATTGAGAAGTGTTAAATTAGTTTTAAATAATAATATGGCGCAAGTTTCATACTCCATTCGACTACTCTGTGAGAGCAGCTAAGGAAGTGATACATAATTTAGATTTTCCTAAGTAAATGCCATACATATACTTGTGTAGTAGTGATCGTTTCGTTTAGTCGGTAGGGGGCGGCATTGCAGCGACGATCGCTTTCATTACGGCGGCGGCTGCGAGTGCCGCGTGCGGCTGCCAGTCCTTGCCACGAGTACCGTCGCGGTAGTCTGATATGCCTGAAAAAAAATATTTATTTTTATAAAATAATTAGTACCTACTATCTTAATTTTTTTATTATTTATTTATTTATTTCGTATTATTATTATAGTAACGGGCTAGTACTGAAAATCAGCGCCGCGTCTCGAGTTACTGCTCTCGGGTCACGGCATTTCAGCTGAGCACTTGGCCTTTTTGCGCTGTGCACACTTTTACCATTTTCATTGTATACTTAACTATTCTTCTTGTTTTTAAATTCGTTCGGTGCGAATAAACAATTTTTCTTGTATGTGTTTTGTGTAATAAAGTATTAAAATCATCTTTCAAGACGGGGTTTTCACCAGAGGATTCTCAGAGTATTGGCATACTCTACAGCCGACGTATATGTACCAGGTTTGTGCAATGACTACAAGTCGTAGTCGTAACTTATCGTATAGGCTGCTTACGATACCTATCAAACAACTAACATTGTTTCATTAAAAATGAATCTTACCTCGAATAGAAACGAAGCAATCTTTTCTGTTTCCAACGACGCTGTCGAGTACGGCGTCTAGCTCGCAGTCGTAGGCGAGGGCCCGCGCATGCGCAGCGAAGGCCGCTCGTGCCTCCCCAGTACCACTCACTGCACGGCCACCCGCTACAGGCGACAGATGAACGCGAAGACCACTGCCAACCCTGTCACTGAAATAAGAAATTCGGCGTTAGGACTCCATTTTTAACTTATCCATGCATATTCTATGAAAGGAGAAATTATTGGAAATACTGGGTTTTTAAAAATTTCAGTAGTAGCACGGAGTCTGGAATTGTGTCCGGTATATGGCAATAGGCTCACCCCCTATTACATGGGACTCATAACATAAATAGTGAAAAGTGGGTGTTACATTGTACAGTGGTATAATGTGCACCTCTGCCTACCCCTTCGGGGATAAAAGGCGTGATGTTAATATTGGAAATACGGTATCTAAGAATGAGGAGATGTGTTGTGATAGGGTAGATGACTAATTTTTATTTGAATTACCGTCTAGTAGATTATTTAAAAACATTAGACATGTATTATTTATTTTCTTAAACTGTCAAACACCAAGCGGTCACCGGTGACCGCGACCTATTGTTCTTTAATTGTGTCTATAAATACGGTACTCGACGAGTTAAGGAATCAAATCAGTACAAAAGCAGTAGTTATTGGTTTTAAACTGAGTTATAAGTTAAAGCTACTGAGTAAACGGTAATTGTCTGTGTATTAAATCAATATTAATTTTCTCATCTACATAGTACATAACATGGCTGACTGTAAACAGTATAAAAATAATGGTACACATGCAAACCAAAGTGTACAATTTTTTTTGTAATGCGATGTAAATCCTCATTGACTTCCCACCTTGTGGGGACGACCTTTGTGCCGAAGTCTTATCGGCTAAAACCACCGCGGTGTTTCTTCTTTGCCTGTGTACCGTTATTTACCATTCTGTACTAGAGCCCGGGTGTAGATCCGGGCTCTAATATGATATAATAATTATGGGCCTCTCAATTTAAATAATATTAATAATTAAATAAACAAACCAAAGTGCGTCATAAAAGCCGATAAAATGTTTAAAACTGATTTACATTACGCTTGGCAAATACAAATCGTGCCTCAACGATACTATTTTCCTCCAAAAGTATTTTAATTCCAATAATTCTATTTATTGCTTACTTTATCTTAATAAATAATAAATTGTATATACGCAAACAAGGGGATTGTAAAACGATTTTCCTTTCATATTAATTTCCAATAATTATATTTAATCTTAATAAATAACATCGTATTTATGCACTTATTGGGATTACCCATTTAGTCTGAATGGGAATTTATGATATTTATGTGCTGGCGGAAACAAATTCAGTTATAAATAACACGTTTCATTGACATAAGAGTGCATAACATGAACGTTGTTTGTAGAATGAATCATGTTTTATAAGAATTTTACAGAATTAGCTCGGATTGTTTACTAAACATATTTTCACGGACGATGCCGCCTACCTACTGACCTATATCGAACTGTATAACTGATATTTTTTTGCACGAATATAAAGGTTTTTTTAAGGGGAGAAAATCATCGAATGTTTGCTCCCGTCTGGGTGAGGCGGGAGGGAGTGTCAGACTCATACTGACTAATAACCACCCCTTTCCTTCCCCTGCACGTCGAGCCGGAGCCCCGGTAACCCGTTAGGTTCTCCGCGACTCCGAAACGAATATAAAGGTTAAAACTAAATTTTATTAGCTAGGATAAGTTGTTAAGTCAATCGTCAATTGCCATAGTTATAATTGAGTTTTAAACTATATGATACAAGACTACGTCTACACTACAACTATGAAGTTCTAAATCGAAAAACCAATAAACAGAAAAAAACAATTCCTCAACTCGACAGTTAAATCTTAAGGCACTTGCCAATGCAATTATACATAGTTAAATAAAATGATGACTTGCAAAACCTGATGTTTGTTAACAAATCTAGCATATTAAATTTAATTCTTAGTAGTTAAAACTAATTTCCGTTCGTTAGTCTTGCTAAAACTCGAGAACGACTGAACCGATTTAGCTAATTTTAAGCTTGAAATGTTCATGAAATTTCAGGGAAGGTTTAAAAGGTGACAAATCACTCGGGTAAAAAAAAATTTGAATCGATAGGGAGTTTGGGTGTTAGCTAGTAAGACAAGAGAAAATAACCGAAAACATACACTTGGTCTCCTTGTGGTGCTGGATGTGACACTTCTATGAAGGCACCTTCTCCGATGTCCACGCAGAGTCGGTCTGTGGCACCTTCCGGAGCTTCCCATCTCCCAGGCACGCCTCGAAGTCGTTCCAAACCTGGAAAGTTAAATACGGTGTAAGACAGTAGCGTAGCGTATGTTGGCGGGGCCCCGTATAAAAATTTATATGGAGGCCCTTATAAAAGGATTTTTCGGAAAACATTTTTTTATAGGTACATAATATTATAAATATTATAATTTTGTGACTCCCTCTGCCCAGATTATCGGACAATGTATAAATCACACAAAGTGTTGTTCCGTGCGGGACTCGAACCTGCGACACGCTGCACGGCAGCCGGTTGCCGTGCAAAGTGCAGCTATTTTACTACGGGACGAAAACAAAATAGATTTCACAGTTTACAATAATCATCATATGTCACAAGATGTCCACTGCTGAAAATAGACCTCACTTAAGGACTTCCACATCGACCGGTTGGAGGCTACCTGCACCCAGTGGTTTCCTATGACCTTTACGTATCAGGTCATCCGTTCATCTTATGGGTGGACATCCTGCACTGCGCTAGCTGGTAGGTGAGCATTGAGTAACCCGGTAAAAGTTACAATTTTCTTCAATGAAATAATCGGTTCATAGTAGTTTTATCATAAAAATTTAAAAAGTCAAAATTTAAATTTAACAATTGTGATTGAACATGATGTTTTTTTTTTGATAAACGTACTTTTTGTTTTTTTTTGTTGTAATATCCTGTTCTTTTATAATGCATGTCGTGGCAGCCTTTAATTAAGACTACACTATATAGTGTTATGTTGCTGTATGCTTTGTTGGTTGTCCTTAAATAAATAAATAAATAAAGGTTCGCAGCATTATTAGATTGTATGAATATGGTCACTTCTCCCCTATTTTTACTTTTATCAAGGCAACCCTTCCTTCTGAGAAATCACAAGTAGTATAGTAGGTACTTACAATGTTACGGGTAAAAGTGAGTCGTAGTAATGTCATATAAAACATGGATGGTATGATTCATATTACTCCTGAATGAATGATCTAATTGAATAGGTAAATCGGCGACCCCCGTGTCCTTTGTTAATATGCGTATGAATGAGCTACAGAGATTTTGATAATGTTACGAAGTATTAAGAGTTTTTTTTAAATATTTCAAATGTGATGTCATGTAGGTGCGGTCCGAAGAGGGGCCACGGGACATGACCAAAATCTATACACGCTATGAGGAAAATCCTCCTATCATATACTATATACTAGCTTTTACCCGCGGCTTCTCTCGCGTCACAAAAGGATAAAAAATAGCCTATGTGACATATACATACAGCGCCATCTATACCAATACTTTTGTTTTCCCTCGGGAATATCTAATTTTTCCGGGATAAAAAGTACCCTATTATTTAATCCAGACTTCTAACTTTATGTCTGCAAAAATTCAAAGCAATCGGTTTAGTAGTTACGGCGTGAAAGCGGAACAAACAAACAAACTCACTTCCCGATTTATAATATTAGTAAGGATTAGGAAGTCCTCTCAAGCAAATATGTAACACTTTTACCATAATAAAAAGAGGTACTTATAATTTTCCTTTATACGACTTTCAATTTAACAGGGACAATGAAGAAGATGACGGTAAGATAATAATAATAATTTGATAATGATTTATAATTGGGTTAGGTAATTGTCGTTATAATTTTCATTCGAGGAAAAGCAACCAGTGTTGATTTCCATATTATTGACACAATGGTGTACCTAAACACACCTTTTCTTTGCACAGATAAAAATATGCAAGGAATTTTAAAACAAACACCATTATCTTTAACAGCTCTGCTCACAACTCATAAAGATATTTCCGTTTAAGAAACACTGTAATCTGCGTTAATATTGCGAACATAATAACGTTCTAAGGTAACTGAGAATTAGGTCATGTTATTTATTCACATATTGACTGCTTCGTTAAGTCTTCGCGCTTCATTATTTATTGTAATTTCCTAAAAAGAATATGTATACAGGGTTACAGGGTAAGTCGACCTAAATCCTTTAAACTGTCAAACACCGAGCGGTCACCGGTGACCGCAACCACTGTTCTTTAATTGTGTCTATAATGACGGTACTCAAAGAGTTAAGAGGTGATAGTATCCATTATTCCTGACTGCTTTAACTAAGGAACCCCATATCCCAAACTGAATCGTTCTCAAGATATCGGCCTTACACTCTACGCCTCTGTTGGTAAAGTCACTTGCAGTTTTATGGTTTCAAATAATAAAACAACTAATCTTCTACAAAAAAAAAAATAGCAAAGACAGAACAAACTTGAGACACAAAACAAAAAAAATGGGCGCAATCGACCAAAATCTGGAATTTTTATAAAAGTAACTAGCTTTTACCCGCGGCTTCGCTCGTGTCACAAAAGGATAAAAGTAGCTTACGTGACATATACCAATACACACAGCGCCATCTATACCAATTCTTTTGTTTTCCTCGGGAATATCAAAACTTTCCGGGATAAAAAGTAGCCTATTACTTAATCCGGAGTTCTAACTTTACGTCTGCAAAAATTCAAAGCAATCGGTTTAGAAGTTACGGCGTGAACGCGGAACAAACAAACAAACAAACTCACTTTCCCATTTATAATAGTAAGGATACAAGGTCCCATATCTTGAGAACGGTTAAGTTTCGGATATGGGGTTCCTTTGTCAAATCGGTCAGGAATAATGGATATTACCACCTCTTAAAGGATTTAGGTCGACTTACCCTGTAACCCTGTATACTTAACCTAACAAATATTATACCATTCTACTAACACCATTTTTGTTAATTTTTCACGTAAAATCTGCTGAACTGATTTAGATCAAACATGCCACAAATAAATGATAACCTAGCTCTAATAACACACGGGCTATTTTCGCTGAAATCGCTGTTAGAAGCTAGTAAGAATACCTTCAATCAACATTGTGTATTAGGATCAATGTGGTTAATAAAAACTTTTCGGTTACAGCAGTCAATTGAATACCAAAACAAGCAGTACTCAGACATCCAAAAAGAGAAGGAGTAAAATAAATTACTTGCCCAATGCGCTTATTCAACACTTTATTTTTAAGAATGTATTCTGCACTTGAACTGTTAATGAAATCAAGTTGTCCTCGTAAATATGTCCAATGTCCATACATGGTAAACACAATACTAGGTGTTTAAGTTATTTTTTAATTATTCATAATCCTACGTCAGCATTGCTAGTAAGTTTATGTAACACTATTTATACAAGTTTTTTCATTTTCCTTTAATTTACGGTGATACAAATCATTGTAATGTATGACGATAATATCTGGGTATTTTCGATTACCTACTATGACAGTTTTCTATAAGTTTTCGTCATTACATTGTTGACGTCATATGTTTTAGGGTGTCCATTGGCGACGCTAATTGCTTATTCCATAGAAAAGGTGCCAAGGATAGCCTTAAAGCCTTTTTTACAAAAGAAAAATAGGTAACTATTCTTACCTTCACTAACGAACGCGTCCCACAGAGGTTTTGCGTTGCTCAGGCGCTGTGCAATATCTTGCAGAAGAAAATCAGCTGGTTTGTACGGTTTCACTTCGTAGTCCCATCCACCTTTCGCGTTCTTCTCTGCTTTCTCGCAGAATATGTACACGTACCTGTGAACAATTATCGTGTTCGTCTTTCATCTTCGATAGAGTATTTTTTATGTAATAATACTTGTAATCAACCGCTCCCGACTGCAGGAATAACACGTCAACAAAAACTATTAAAATTGTGTAAACGATTTTTTTTTGTCAGCGTTTTGGGAACGTCCTGTTTACACACTGTATAGATCACCCCTTTTAAAAAGTGATCCAGAAATTGTCGCGAAGTAGATCCCATCATTTGGTCTATTAGTTTAGAGTTTGAAAGCTATTCACGTAAAGACATTCTAATTTTGAATATTTATTTATACAGCTGCATTTTGCTCTCCGCGAAATTGAATTTCCTGTGTGAAGTATAAAACTGTCACTAGACGCCTTAGTAAAATAAAATGGTCAACATCCTAATGCCATATCAATTTAGTTACTAGGCGAGGGTCAACCAAGGTTAGCGGTAATTTAATTAATTTATCGTTTATTTGAGACGTTTGGACGTTGCAGTCGACCAATCGGTTACCCCACTCATAGTTACACCTAATGCTTCTCCCACGTATAGCATTTAGAACAAATATTGCACAAGATCTACTGTTCTGTCCATAAAAAAAAACCATTTTGGTTCGACCTTGGTCAAATATGTCTTTCCATAAACGAATCGAAACATCTACCGAAGAAGAGGAACAATCGGTTCGCCCACGTGAGGTCATTAACCGCATTTTTAAGGCGGATCAAAATGTCTACGTAATTCGTACCGTCTAGCCATGAGCTAAAGGACTTTGAATTTGTAAAAAAAAACTGCTCTATTCCCCTCCTAACAACAAATCATGATTGAATTATTATTTCTCAAAAATACGGTGACATTTAACCAAGGAATTTCCGAGGTGACCGAGTAACGTCAATAATTTGACCTCATTCCTTCGGTGCGAACTCTTTGCTAGATCATCGCCTGTAATATTACAAGGAATCGTTTCTTGTACTAAAGGTAAATAGTCGTATAGACAGGTGTTGTATAAAGGCTATTTATTTAGTGTAGACAAGGATTTGTAGACAGTTAGACACGCCTGCTTTGAAAGTTTAATCGGTCTTAGCTACGTCGGTACCTACCTATCGTGTCAGTTTATAGGATAGGTATGTTCCTCTGTTCATATTCTACATCAGTAAAAATTGCTATTTAATAAAACTTAGCAAATACAAGTATTGATTTCTTTACTTCGTCTGATCCCATTCCACGTGTCTGTTTCGTCCGTCGAGGAAATAAAAAAGATGTCTGGTATAGCAGGTGAGATATATTTGTTCAAGTATATTTAAACGGTATTCCGTGGGTTATTTCTGTACTTCAAACGATTTCGTTTCTGAGAAATCAAACACTTATTTGATTTCTCACCTCACCTAATTAATATATTGAATTTTAGAGTAGTAAAGTCGCCTTTTCATTTACTCTTTTGAATGTACTTTTTGAGCAACTATTCATTTTAATTGTGTATCACTACATAGTATAAAACAAAGTCGCTATCCGCCGTCTGTCTGTCGCTATGTATGCTTAGATCTTTAAAACTACGCAACGGATTTTGTTGCGGTTTTTTTTAATAGATAGAGTGATTCTTAAGGAACATGTGTATAATACATGCATATTGCACCCGTACGAAGCCGGGGTCGGTCGTAAAGTATAATGATCTACATGTTAATCCATTGACAGAATACGTTGTCAGTTTTTGAAAAAAAAAAAAAATAAACCATTTTGTTTTCTTCACTTCAGTTCTTTAGTAATTATATACCTAGCATGATTTTGCAAGGACTTTATATTTACTTAACTCTAATGTTTGTTAATGGATCAGATAAAACAGCGAGTGAATCGTTATCACGAGCTAGGCGCCTACAAACCCTATTTATTACTATGAACACCCATAAAACAGTATGTCCATATAAACTTGTAGGTAATTCATATATCTATGCAGTTCGTGATTCTCAGACAAAGATTGTCAGTATGTAGGTAGGTACAGTATTAACATCTACATCAGTCCCACTTTACTTTTCGATTAATATTCATTTAAATATTGTCGATAATAATCTCAGCATTACAAAGTATCGACTAGTCCTTTAGCTGGATTTCCCCAAGAAATAAGCAGAAGTTGTTTTCAAGTTATGTTCACTTATTGATGATATTACTTTAAGTCTCTTTTAACAATGACGAATCAGTTTTTTTCCCATAAACCACGTTTTTCGAATCATCACAACGAAATATTTAATTAAAAGTATTTTTAATGGAATGAGGACAAACGAGCAGACGTTTCACCTAGTAGTAAGGAATCAGCTCATAGACACCCGTAACATAAGAGAGAGACACAATTGCGATACCGGCATTTCGAGAAAAACGGTGTGGGTCTCCAGTTACCACATTCACACGGCAAAACAAAACGTAATTGTTATTTCACGTCGATTTTCTGTAAGACCACGCCATTCCGGTCAGTCCAGACCATTTGAGCCGAAACATGACGTTTCTATTTCCTCCTAAATTAAATAATCTATGCAGATAAATAAAAAAGTTATGTCTAACCAACCCTAGGATACGATTAAACCCTTATCTGACGTATATGGGTTCAAATTTGGATACTTTTAAAATAAACTGTGCTGGTGAAAACAGTGATTTGGATTCAAAATAAAATTCGAGTGGTTTGTGACTTTCGGGAATAAATTCGATGTCAAAAACTCATATTCTACGCGGACGAAATCGCGAGCAACAGCCAAATAAATCAGTATAACAATTATCACAATATACCTAAAATGGTGGGAATATTTCAATATCCCGGTTGTGGTAACACGTGCTAAAAATCGTGGGGATAATGTAGTACGTAGGTCGTATATCTACGTAACAAAGACGTCACACATGGGACAATCACAATCAATACATTATTTGTATTAGTAATCGTGGTTTTACAAGTCACGTACACCATGCGTTAGGGATAAATTATGGTCGAGACTGTAGTTAACTCATTTTACGGATTTTGACGTTTACTAAAAAAAAAAAATAGTGCCCATAGATTAAAAAAAATTAGTGCCCATAGATTATTAACAACAAATAGTATTTGTTACAATGTCAGTTCTGTCACGTACGTTCAAAGAAACTGCAAGATATTTCATGAAAAATATTTGGTTTCTTTGTGTTTTGGACAATTGTAGATAGGTCACCTACTTAATTATACTGCCACTAATGAAATACTTCTTTTAACGGTTACCGGATACTTATATATATGTATATAATACTAGCGACTCGCCCCGGCTTCTCACGGATGCAAAATGCATGTACTATACATATAAATCTTCCTTAAAAACACTCAATTAAAATAAACTAAAAACATCGAAATCCGTTGGGTAGTTTTAAAGATTGAAGCATACATAGGCACAGACAGACAGCGGATAGCGATTTTATTTTATACTATGTAGTGATAAAGCAAAGTACCTATTGTTAATTTGTATGGATCAGATATTTTAAAAAATCTAGTCATGTACATTTTGTAAGTATAGCATTTTAAAGATTACTATGCACACGAATACATACATAGTTATTTATGAAAAGGGTATTGTTTTGTTTTGTAAAACGAAGTAGTCTTGGGAGATGAAAGAAGTTTAAAAAAAATAACGTAAAAATGTAATGACGTAAAAAGAAGTAGTAAAGTAAGTAATGAATTATCTAAGCAAGTTTATATATAGTTATTACTATTTGCTTAATCACCTGCCACTTTCATCTCTGTACCACCTAAATACTGTAAGACATGTCCAAGGCATTAAGTTCACCTGTACATGTGTTTTTGAACTAAATAAATAAATAATGACTACATATTTCTTCGTTCATTGATTTTAACTACGAGGAGTAGGTGTGTAGTAAGTTTCATTGACTTGCGAAATTGTTTTCAGTGCAAATAATGAGTAATAGAAGTAACAGAGTGCGGTTAACCACAACCAAAACATAATTGGTTACTATGTAAGGAGATATTTACTACCTATAACATTAAAAGAATTCATTTCATTTTATAGTTTTTATTTTGTGAATCAATTTCTACCAATAATTTAACAGAAACGTGAGTAGCGTTCTTTATTATTTATAATAAAGAAAATAATCGAAGTTAGATAATTTTCTTTTTTTAAAAACAAATAACAATTTTATACTAATTTATTTTTCCTCGTGTGTTTTTAAAAGAGGTCATTGCCCTGCAGTTTACAGCCTGATTCTTTTATTTAATCTCTATATACAGACAGACAGATACCACCAGGACAAACTACTCTTATCACCATTACATTTTCAACTTTATTGTTTTGATATAAAGTCGAAATAATTTGAAGATTGGAGTAGATTAATCCGCTAGTCTTTACCTAGATTCCACGTACGACACACGAAAAAATAAATCTTTGTGTAATCCACAAATTATTGTTCCGGGACAGGGTCTGAACCGCGAATGAATGTACCCACGACACAGGATAAACCCCAAATGAGGGAAGGGTTTTTTAGTAGAAAACAGGTAAGCTGGTCAACTAACGAGTAAAATGCCATCACGGTCCAAAGTATCATTGTGAAACTCCTCAATAAACAATGACGAATAGTAATTGACGTAGTTTTTCAAAGTCAACTCCAGACAGCTAAGTAATAAAAAATTGTGTTACTTGGTATATTCTATAGTTTGTTTACGAGTCATTCGGTCACACCCACACACGTGATTTGAGTACAGTTAAGGCCAGTTTCCATAACATTTGTTTGTAGAGTACGTACTCCCACGAGGTTTCACCCGATACTAAGCTTCTATTGGTCGTGCCATTTTATGACCTATATCCTTCCTTGATAAATGGACTACCCAAAACAAATATTTTTCGATTCGAACTAGTAGTTACGGAGATTAGCGTGTTTAACCAAAGATACATAGCTTTTTAGTACCTATTAGCTTACTAGATAATTTTGTATGAAGGTTGTGTCAAAATTTTAACTATAGTAAGCGTTACAGATGGGGCCCAGTAGGGCAGATGCCCTATACGGAGCCACGGAAGGCCTAAAGGGTTGCCAGGGCTCCGATTCAAAGAGCAGGAGTAGGAACGAGGGTGGGTTTTAATCAGTAGGAGTCTGACAGTCCCTTTCGTCTCATCCAAGGCGGGAGAAGCAATTGGATGATTTTTGCCCATCAAAAAAAACCCCTACTTTATTCATATGTATGTATTTCCACAGGGTTCGCATTTAGGACCACTTTTTTAACATCTTATTCAGTAGAGCGTTTTTAAGATGTAGGTAACTACAGACGGATTGGTTATTAAAACCAACCGTTAGACAGCTAAGTGGGAAATAAAAAATGTCTTAGTATGTATTTAAATACAAGTAATTTGCTTACTCCCACGTGAATTTAGCACAGTCTGTTGAACAAACATAGACGTCCTAAGTGCTTATTGTAGGTATGGTTGCTCATTTATCTCTCATTTGCATGATCTGAATTACTTGAACGCTTTGCACAAGTCCTTGTCTACATTTAGATGACAATCTACGCAAGTCTGCTAGTAGAGTACATTGAGATTCAAGTTATTTGTTAGAGGAGACTAAACTCTAAAGCAATCGTTGAATATGAAGTCATAAGTAAAATAGTATATTGTAAAAACACTATAGCTTTTGCATCAACTTGATAACAGTTATATGAGCCAACTTGATATGAAATTGTGCACATTTGCTAACATATTGAGTTGCTTACCAGTGTCCACTACTAGGTGGCATTGGTACATTGAATAGTAGATACCTAGGTTTGTTATGTTAAATATTTATCTATAATTCCTTCATTTCTCACGACATCTACGTCAGATGCTAAACGCTTACTAATCTTTTATCTCTTTCTCTTTTGCACACAGCACTTCAGTGTGCATGACATTTTTATAGGTCATCCATAGACGTCATTGTATAGGACAAGCCCTCCCGGAATTCCCAGTAATTCGATGACTGATTTCAACCACAAGGATGAGTTGCCTAATGCCTGTAGTTACTATCTATCAACAGATTTCACCTACACCACCACGTTCGAACAAACTCGATTATTCAGGAAATCAGACTTTCTCATAAATATTACTAATTAATTACGGTTAACTGGGTTTTCCCAACAGAATGATAGAAAATACCTATTGTAGTCGAGTTTTGCAATTGCAATCGTTCATCTCTAGTTGAGTTAGAAATAAGAAGGGATCTTTGATACTTATATGCATTGATTATGGATTAGTTGATAACAATAAATACTGTGTCGTGGCCATTAATAATTTACTATGCGATTGTATAGATTTATATCGCTTATCGAGTCCATCTACTTTTTACTTAGCTTGCTATATAATAATATATTGGCTTACCTTTGAGATTGTTAACAGCGATATTGCCATATATCTCTTAACTAAAATGTCTATATGTTCTATTTACACATATACGAATAACTTACTTACTATCGGTCTCATTGGCCGAGTCGTCGCAAGTGCGACTGCCGGGCAAGGGGTCTAGGGTTCGATTAGGGCCAAGTATTACTGGGTTTTAAAAAAAATCTCAGTAGTAGCACGGAGTCTGGAAATGTACCCGGTATATGGCAATAAGCTCATCCCCTATTACATGGGACTCGTAACATACGTAAAGAAAAGGGGGTGTTACATTGTAGTGGCATTTAATGCCGTAATGTGTACATCTAACTACCGCTTCGGGGATCAAAGGCGTGATATTACAAACTTACTTGTCGGGTAAATCGGGCGCAGGTGATGACACTACGACGTCGCCAAGACGAACGTGCCTGGCATAATCTGTGTAGTGAGGTACCCCGCCTCCAACGCCGACAAGAAACACATACTCCACCTGCAAATAGAATGCCGTTAATCTCATATACAATTACAATCACTACTGCCAAATGTCAGGTGATACTCCGTGGCATAATATCGCTTAGAAATGAGGTCGAAACTGTTGATATTTAAAACCTGAAGGCGACTGGATTATTACAGAAAATAGTCTTGGACCGAACGGCGAAGGAAAACTTCGTGAGGAAACCTGGGCTTATAATTTCTAATTATAAGTTTTTTTTTTAATAAATAATAAATTGAATTTTTCCACGGACTCGTATCCGTGCCCTAGTCATATTACAAGTACATAATTTTCATGGCCAAATATATATATTTTTTTTATATAAAGATATTACACGCTACGTCTACCACTATCACTACACACAATACTTTATGTTGTTCCCTTATTATTATAGTCTCATTATCTTAGACTAACCCTACTGAATCAACCCACCAGCACGATCAGCGAGCCGGCCTGTTCCAGCAGAAGGCACCCGTTCACGGGTGACGTGTAGGCCAGCAATCGGTCCGATCAACCATTTCGTAGGGAACGGAACGAGCCAGCCCACGGTCATTAATTATAAGTTTGTATTCGCCAACCCATATTTTGCAAACGTAGTGATAAATGCTCAAACCTCCGTGTGAGGAGAGGAGGCCTTTCCCAAGAGGCCTTTGTCCAGCAGTGGGTACTTATGGGATGTTGATGAATGATGAATGAGTCTTGGAATCGGAACGTAATTATCTATTCAGATATCTACATACCTCTTATTATTGATATCTACATACATTATTATTATTACCTCTTTTTATCCCAAGTTATTTAACTTTACATCTAATTTTATTTCGTTTCAATCTTCACCTTTGCCTAACTCTACAACGATCCTAATATATTACGCTTTGTTTCCGCACTATAGAAACCTATTAACCACATTGTGATTGATCGCCATCTTTCTGCAACGGCTATAACTGCCAAAACGTTTCAGTAAAGCCCAGACGTCTAGTAATATAATAAGTACTGTGACTTCAAACAGATCAGTTTTAAAATAATAAACAAGCTTATTATGTTCATACATTTTACTTCAGCATTTCTGGACCCGATCATCAAAACATAAATAAAACCATTATTTATTAACGTCATTTCTTAGGAAATTATAGTTGTACGAGTGGCGAATTTAGGCATATTCTACATGTATTGATAACAGAAGGTATCCCTTAGAAAATAATTAAATGTTCCTAATAATAAGCTGGGTTAATTTACCAATTTCACGTTTCAAGTGCCTAATCAAGAATTAATTGAAATAAATGCTTTGACTTTGACCAAGCTCGACACTGCTGTGCCCCGCTTCACCCGGCACCGCTTATCTCCGCGCACCATACATACAGTTTAATGTAAATCTTCTCAACTCCGCTAACCCTGTTTCCACAGAATCGGAGTGCAGATGATATGTGTATTTTGAGCAATGCGATTGGACAATTTTTATAAATCTCTGTTCAGCTACCTTCAGTTCAGCTTCAGTAGAAAGCAGTTTAATCCTATACATTTTATTCAAAAATCAATCAAGTAGTGTCGTCACTTAGGTTTAAAACGGATTGAATTGTCTAGTCAATCATAAACAGAGACTGTATTAGCCATGCAAAGGAAAATTACAATGTATTTATTTGAGCATTTCTATTTTACCTATAAACCGTATTAATTTAGGTACCGCAACGAATTATAAAAAGCATTGCGCATATATTTAATGGAATGTCACTTAATGTACCTACAGAACGGATATAAAGATGAAGAGGTTATCAGTCAAATTGATTAATTCAATTACCAACACCACATAGAGGCTTTTGTCTCTTCTCAGTCTTTCTTTTTTATAATTTATATTATAGACCCATATAATATCTTCTGCGAAGTTTGATAGTCTAGTTGACAGCCTTGATGGAAATAGATCGGAAGATTTTTATCTTCTTTTTTAATAATAACATGGGTCATATGCATATTTGTACAAAACAGAGATATTTTCGAAATAACAGTACTAGTTAACGACTGGAAAATAACAGTAGAATAATAATTGACGTTAAAACACACCTCAAAACAGTAGCGCAAACAATAACTCGTTAATCAAATTCCAACCAGATAGCAGATACGACGAACATATGGCAACAAAGTTATTCCAAATGTTACGAGTAGTACATATATGAAACGAGCTAATTCTGTCCTTACGGTAACCAAACATGCCAAGCCCATGCAATCACGGCTATTTCACGCATGGATACAAAATAGACGCAACTCGAGGCTACTAATATAATTTATCAATCACTATTAATATCGATATAGAATTCGTAGATTTAAAAATAAACTTCAATGTTAAAATAGCCAGCAAAATCATGTGTTCATGAATTCATGATCATGCAGATATTTGAATATCAATTGTACATTGAAAAACACCAGGAGTGAATTTGATTTAGTTCTTCGAATGAACAAGCCACAAATATTTTATTGACGTCCTGGTCTGACGTGGAAGGTTTACTAATGGTCTCATTTAACAGCCCACTTAAAATCTTTGTGAACAAAGGCTCTCGGAGTATATTGGAGTTTTTAATTTGCAGTCTCTAAAGACAATATAATTTAGTCATTCAGTATATAAATCGTTCGTTTGCTATTAAAATAAGTAAAGACTGACCGACACTGAAACAATCATAACGAGAACAACGAATCGCAACCGTGTCAGCCCATATAAGGCATGCCACAAGTACAGTTGGAAAATCAGGCCATACCGAATCATATCGAAAAAAAAAAGGAAACAAAATGAGTCCTGAATCACCTACATTTACACGAGTTGTAGGTAGGCAAGGGGTTGATTAATATTACACAAGTTTTAGTCAACGAGTGGTCCTACGTCATAAAGAATTATAATGAGTAAGGTAAAGAAAGTAGGAAACCACAAAATATAATGAACGCAGCTAAAGGAAATTTTTCCTACATAATCATTTGAAATATTGATTTTAGTTATTAGTCATATCAAAGAATTTCCATTGTGAAATTGCCAAAGCTTACCGTATTAGAACGATAAGCGTCACTATCACTAGCTTCGAATGTAATTGCAAATATATTGCTTTGAATTCATAATTTTGCGAAACAAACCCCTTTCCCTTGAACAGATAGCTTTAGAGTAATGTAATGTGAAGTTTCCTTGTAACATCGGGAGAAAGAGCCAGTGTATAGTTGATCTTCTCTGATCTCTTCATCTGATCTTCATTAATTGATATTCTTTCCGTTCGTCACGCTAGTTATAATATAGTTGCTAACGTCATATGAAAATACCGCAATGATATAGACACATTTAGGGAAAAATGAAAGGAATAAGGAAATGGACAATAAATAGTATCATTTGTCATTTTGAGCAAGCGTGGTAATTAATGCTCAAGCCTTCTTTGCTTAAGAAAAGGCCTTTGATCAACAGTGACCGCTTATAGGCTGTTGATGTATGATGTGATTTGTCATTTTTATTTCACCGGCTCAATAGGAGTAATACCACAATCCCATAAGACTGACTGCATTTAAAAGCTTTTCACTATACATTTTGGGTTTTACGGCGCGGTGTTAAATATTAAATCGAACCCCAAGAGGCAAGAGGTCGGGGTCATTAAATTGTTGACAATTGTATAACTGAATCTAGAGTTAAATCCTCTCGTCTGTTGAAAGTTGCGGGTATAATGTGTTTTATACCGGGAGCCGGTGTTTCAACAGATAATTGGATAATGAATGAAAGAGGTCAAGGTTTTATTAATAAAATATTGTCCAGCACACAGATTTAAAGTTGATGAGATTTTACTGCAAAAATTAAATTCAACATTTTTGAATTATGTTTAGTTAGCGAACTATACTCAATAGTCTTTGTAGCTTCTGTATCTAATATTAGTAGTTATGTAGTACTTTATCATAATTATGGGAAGTGTCGGCTTCGTTCCAGTCTAATAATATTATTAGTGTCTGAATTTTGTCACGCTTCATCAGGATATTTCGGAATATACAAACCCTACATACGAAACAATCAATTCCCAGACATGTTGTCGAACTATCCTGGGCTTTAGGTTTGATTCAACCACGGTTCCCGAGACTTAAATAGAACTGATGGTATCAGGATTTTATAAGAAGGAACTACCATATTATATAGATAAAAACACGCGAAGGTGATATGTACTAGTAGTACACTTAAACAGGTATACCGATTATCATAGATGTTTTTACCCTAAATACTTACAACGACAATATTAAACAAGTAAAAAAAACAAGTGTGGGAGAGCCATGCTTCGGCACAAATGGGCCGTCTGATCGTATACCATAAAATATAATATATCTGCCTTAAAAAAATAAATATAACGAACCTTTTGGAAGATACCAAGCAGTCTTGTGGTGGTGTTACCAGCAGCTGTCATTGCTTCTCGTGTTCGACCCACGGATGGGAGTTTAGTGGTTACCACCCGATGGTTACCGATGGTACCCAAAGTATACACGTTGGATTCCCCTGAAAAGAAATTGTAAATATAAAATCTGAAATCTTCGCACTAGTTTCCGTATCCCAAAAGGTGTTGTTCGTTTACGCATACTTCTTTATAATTACAATTTTAATTCAAGGTCACGCCGCGCCTTAAGGTGGGTCATCCCATCACGATAGACGCTAATTCGGCTTAAAGAGTTAAGTATGATCTAATTAATTTAAGACTGCAAATTCTTCAGAGATTATATCAACCAACAAATGCTAATATGATCAAAATCAACCGGAGTCTTTCGAAAAGTGATTTAGAGACATTACCTCCTACAGAACCATAGATGTATTCCACATTAATTTCCTTCAAGAAACACTTCATTTGTTTATTGACAATCATTAGTTAAATGCATAGGCATATTGAATAAGTAGTTATTACATAAACGATTAAATAACATGAAAACAATACGTGATTTTGTTTGTGTTTATGTGTTACAGGATGAATTTTATCCTGTCTTGGTGGACTGAAGGGAACTCCCGTACAAGGATATTGATGGAAATAAATAAATACAAACTGTCAACTACACCCATATAAAGCAGACAATTTTATTTACTTTGACGTATTTGAACAATTCGCAACCTAATGAATCATTATAAAGCAGTGTTTAAATAAAAGGATCATCCGCTACTATTGATTAGTGTCAATCAACTGCTAATTGGTATAGTCCTATTGGGACTACCAATAAATTAAATACTAATTAAGTAATTGTGCAGTTTAATCATCACCTTAGTTGACAATCGTGTTTCGTGCATTAAACAAGTGACCAGTTTGTGAGTGAAGACAGTTTTGTGAAGTGCTTTTTAATTTATTAACAAAAATGGCAGTGACAAGAATATCGTTCGTGTCAGTTTTTATTGTCCTCGTCATATCTTACAAGCAAGCTGGAGCACGTTCCACCGCAGATATAACAAAGAACGAGTAAGTTTTGATCATGAGAATTATTATTCATTTATATTTTAATATAATTATTAAAATATTAATAATAAAAACTGTACCTACGAATTCTATAGTAACTTGTAATTTATTTTTAGCTTGGATGTTGCTGAAGGGTTCCGAATAGGCACTGGTGGTGATATCACATTTAGGATGCCGGCGGTTATATCAAGAAATGTAATTATAGTCATCAATGGAATTATAGACCCACATCATGCAACGTAAGTATACTTTTTATTTAAATATTGGATTTATTAATAAGTAATTTAAATATAGTAGTATATTAAATGTTTTCTATTTAAATTACAGGTTAACAGTGGAGTTGCCGTCTGAAAGTGGTGGACAAAGTTGCCTAATTCAATACGATTTTCGTGAAAATATTCTAAATATAACACAAGCCGCTGATGGGAACGTCTATACCACCTACACTGATCTCCAAATTTCACCTGAACTTTCTGGTAAATATTTACTCTAGTTTTTTTTTCATTTTCGCATGTTCATAAACTGCATTGCAATTTTTCAAGTCTACATAAGACATTTGATTTATATTTTTGGTGGTTACTTAATAGCTATTTCTTTTTTTACAGTTGGGCCTTCGTTTATTTTGACCTTACATGCCAGGGTCGATACTAGCAACGAACACCTGCTTGGTGTGACTTTTAATGGAAATGGTGATGGTGAAAGTGAACAATTATTGTGCAAGATACATAACTTTGAAGACATTGACAAAATAGTGATAAAGGAAGGTGTCGCAACAGTGAACAGTTTGTTTTATAAATTCAAGTGAAATCATTAGAAAGCCATTAATTGTCATCTAAAGTCATTTATAGTTGAGTTACTGTGATGAGGAAACACATTTATTATTGGGTAAAAATTCTCAGTCTGAAATTGTGCCCGGTATGTGGTAACAGACTCGCCACTCATTACAGGGGACTCAACAGATCTGGTGGGAAGTAGGTGTTACAACGATAAAACGTTTGTTGTGTTTTCATTTTTGATTATTTTGATCATACGTCGACGCTCTTTCGCACACTTTGGATGCATATTGTAATCAGTTTTTAACTAAATAGTGTTATTCCGATCGTTGTGCTAAGAGCACGCAGAAGTTGTGTTAGTGTAAACACCGGTATTAGATGTAAGTATTCAATTGTACAAATCAATGCATGTACTTAACGATCTTAGTATGTAATATTTATATCGTAGTTTAGATAATTAAAATGCTCAATTAGGGTTAAGACAATGATTGTACCTATTAATATTTTCTAGTCAGAAACTGAGCGAATGGTTCCTATAAATTGTGTAGTATTAATAAATGTAAGTACAAAATAGTAATTTAGTAATAAATTAAGATATTATAATTTTAAAATAGTTTAATTTATTTACACCCCGTATTGAAGACCGACGTTCGGAACGAAATGTGATTACGAACGCAGACTTATGACTAGGTGACTAGGATTAATCGGTGTTGGCTCTAGTTGGCCGGACAAAACACCTTAGTACTTATAAAAAAAACTCGAAAAGATATAATATACTCGAATAAAAAAAACTAGTAAAAAAACTCCTTAGTATAAAAAAAATACACAATAAGTACATACTTATTTTTTTACTAATAAAAATTGATATGCCTACCTGATAGAAGTAATCCTGAAGGGTTACAAGTTCTTGTTCAAAGACGGGCATGTGTCTAGCAAAGAACATAGGAGTCTTACGTACGTGACTTAGTGAATGTTTCACCACTTTGAAGAATAAAAGGCGTCACGTTATACTTCCATAGAAAATATACCTATATTGTAAAGAAGCTTTTTCATCAAGCAGATAGAATTGGAAATACATACTCTTTAATCCATAGAAACGGGTACAGTCGCTAGCAGGTCAACCTGCACCAAACTGATTTATTTATTGGAATTTTGACTTTATATGAAAACTATTAGACCTTCTTCTACTTCTACGATAGTTCATTAATATATGTATCAGTAAGAAGTCCGACACGGTCCGTTCCAAACGTTTATAATAATACAATTATCGGTAAACATTGGACGTGTTCCAACCAGCACTTGTTACAGCTGCTCTGCATATCTGTCTAATTTACGATACATTATAAAATTACAATTTGGTAAAGAATAACCCGAAAATCTCAATTTCATTTCTCATAAACATAAAGAAGTTGTCATAAAGATCACAGATTCATTTACTTTGGACTTACATTGACTTGGCAACATGCTAACTAAAAAAAAAACAAAAGTAGAATAGCATATCAGAAAAAAAAAACGTAATAGCCCACTTAACGTCAATAGACGTCGCGGAAGGCCTAAAAGGAGATGGCGGGATTTACGGGATGATGTTAAGAGTACTCAGTAGGTATATTCACAGACTTAGTGTTTCCTTACTGAAATTATTTATTTGGATTCGATTTTCCAACGAAATAAATAACCGACGGCCTCGTTGGCCGAGTGGCCGCAAGTGCGACTGCCGGGCAAGGGGTTTCAGGTTTGATTCCCGGGTCGGGCAAAGTATTACTGGGTTTTTAAAAAAAATCTCAGTAGTAGCACGGAGTCTGGAGATGTGCCATATGCCAATAGGCTCACTCACCCCCTATTACATGGGACTCATAACATAAATAGTGAAAAGTGGGTGTTACATTGTACAGTGGCATAATGTACACCTCTGCCTACCCCTTCGGGGATAAAAGGCGTGATGTTATGTTATGATGTTAAGTTATAAATAACCGAATCCAAAATCTTGTGATATAAGTTTCTAATAGAAACTATAAATCGAATGACATCAAGTCCATAATCTCTAGATTTGGAAACCATGCCAACCATGGTACATAAGTATAGAGAGTTAGTCTTAATAAAGTGAAGGGTGAAACTGGACTGAATAAATAAAATACCCGACAAGATAATAACAAGAAAGGTTGAGTTCTTACGAAAATGTAAATAAGTATTCTAACGATATCCTTAAGAATTAATTGATAAGGAAAAGTTTTTAATTAATGTTGTAATTGATTTACTAAATAAGTAGAGAATAAATAACTATATTCCCTTCATTTAGCTGTAAATTGCTAACTGTCGTGTAAATATTCATTATGCAAATAGTTAAGAATTACGTAGTGTTTAGTCCTTAGAATCTACTCGGGTTTCTCCAAACATTATACTTTATTATTTATTAGATACATCAATAGATGGGTACATTAGTTACCTAGGGAACGTCCAGAGTTCTTGCACACTTCAACGATAATTTATTTGTAACGAAATGAACTGTAACAATTTATTTTCATTGTTACATTTCTATTGCCTTAGATACGTAGATGTCCTTTTGGCTATTGTTTCCCAAATAATGTGCTGTCATGGTCTGGTTATTTGGAGAAACACTGTAACTATTGACAGCCTGGAAAGTCAAGATCAATGTACTGACCGATTAATATTAACCCAAAACAAAACTAAGATTAATTTTATCTGTAACTAGCGACCCGCCCCGGCTTCGCACGGGTGCAATTAGAAACCTCAAAATTTATCAGCGTTTTTCTTCTTTATTATGCATGTATTATACATATAAACTTTTCTGAACAATTTCTCTATCTATTTAAAAAAAACCGCATTAAAATCCGTTGCGCAGTTTTGAAGATCTAAGCATACATAGGGACAGACAGACGGCGGATAGCGACTTTGTTTTATACTATGTAGTGATTAGATACATCAATAGATAGGTATATTAGTTACCTAGGGAACGTCCAGAGTTCTTGCACACTTCAACGATAATTTATTTGTAACGAAATGAACTGTAACAATTTATTTTCATTGTTACATTTCTATTGCCTTAGATACGTAGATGTCCTTTTGGCTATTGTTTCCCAAATAATGTGCTGTCATGGTCTGGTTATTTGGAGAAACACTGTAACTATTGACAGCCTGGAAAGTCAAGATCAATGTACTGACCGATTAATATTATTATTACCCAAAACAATACTAAGATTAATTTTGTCTGTAATTTTACTATACACTATACAGGAAGTATGTATTTTACTAATATACCTACTATGTATAGG